TTTTTACACCTCCCTTTCTTCATGTGTTCAATACTTGTGCCATTCCACATTATTACAAATAACTTCATTTCTGGACATTTATGGTTTGATTTCTTTGTATGTATGGATCACTTGGGTTGTTACCGACAACTGGTGAAAATTTCATGTCATTAGCACCTCTAGTAATATATTTACTGAGAAAAATGGTGACGTGTTTCAATACTTATTTTACCTGCTGTAGCATTTAACATCACAGGTCTATAAATTTCTTGAAAAAAACTAAGTAAAAGTAAAATTACATGAACAGAAAATGACTTTGGTAAAAAAAATAATTTCACTGATGAGAAAACTACTCAAGTAAAAGTCATAAAACTGTTCACAAAAATTGGGAAAGTAAAAGTAAAAATAAAAGTACTTTTACACACTTTTTAAGAAATAAACTGTTGAATTTACTGCTCAGTTTACTCAACTAATCTTAGTGAAGTCAGTTGACTTGACTTTGTTGAGTAAATTCAATACTTCATTTTTTAGAGTGCAGAAACATCTTTTATGATGAGTTCAAACATATTTAATTTTGTAACGAGTAACTAGGTGTTAAATTTTAAAGTAAAGAAGTAAAAGTATTGTTTTTAGCTTTAAAATGTCATGAAATAAAAGTAAAAGTACTTTTACACACTTTTAAAGAAATATACCGTTGACTGGTTCCACTAAGCCAGGTTGAGTAAATTGAGCAATACATGTATATTTGTTCAATTTATTCAAATAGGCTAGTGGAGCCAGTTGACTTGACTTTGTTTAGTAAATTCAACATTTAATTTTTAGAGTGCATAAACATCTTTCATGATGAGTTTGGACATATTTAATTTTGCAAAAAGTAACTAGGTGTTACATTTTAAAGTATAAAAGTAAAAGTATCATTTTTAACTTTAAAATGTAACAAAGTAAAAGTAAAATAAGCTGTTTAAAAAATAATTGGTAAAATTAGAAATCCTCAAAAAAACTACTCAAGTGCTGTAACAAAGTAAATGTACTTAGTTACTATAAAACTCTGTTTAACATACCCCCAAGGCAAGTGTTGCACAGCAGCAAATACAGTAACATAAATGCATGCAAACAATCCCAACTTCCAAAATAAAAAACATGGGGAAAATCATACTTTTTATATATGTTCATAGTTTTGTTGCATTGAGGCACAATATTTATTTTAGGAAAGAAAACTTCATAGAAAAAAAGCTAATAATATACAAAAATTGTGTCTAAATTTAACAATCAGTTCGCAGGAAAAATAAACAGCAGCAGCTCAGATCAAGTGATTCCATCTGACCAATCAGATAAGATTCTCTTTATCTTCTCGCTTCACAGGAAATTTGCTGCAGCTGCTTTTCTAATCATTTCATGAACTTTACCACATAGCTCAATACAAAGTGTGGTTTATTTTCCTAAAGAGTCATTTTACAGATTTTCATCTCGATGGTGAATCTCTCAATATAMGTTTCATAATAAACTAACAGGAGAATCGCTGGAGTCGATTAATCATGTCAACATCCTGCTGAGGAGCATCTTGAAATGATCTCTCTCTAATTTGACAGTAATGAATCTTGTTACCCTCCAAGAGAAAAAAAAAACACACCAGTTGTGTTTAGCACATTTATCATGCCATAGAGACTAATGGAGCCRTGCTGTTACAGACCACTGGCAGCTCCAAACTTCTTTATGGCTGCAAAAATTATTTATTAATAATACAAGGCTGCAGAAAAGGGCATTGTTTTTTTTTCCTTCAACACTGGTAAATAAGATTTTAAAAGTCAGCTTAAACTATTTCTTTTTGAGACAGATCTTGTAAATTTGAGTGCAAGCATTTATTTCATTTTATTTTATTTTTGCAGACATCTCCTGASCTGTTCTGTCCCAAAGATCGCACCAGAGATTTAGATGCCATTTATCAAGTCATCCAGAGCGCAAAGACTTTTATTTTTATCTCCGTGACGGACTACCTCCCTCTGGTCAGGAGGAGTTTCAGAGGAGCTTCAGTCACGAGGTGTGTGAGCCTGAACAAACTTTAAATTTAGCTCCGAGGAAGTCGCTGTGAGTATGGTTTGTTTGTGCCACAAAGAAGTCAAATAAAAGCTGATAAGAGTTCATGAAGTAATTTGACACTGGTGCGTTATCAATGACAAACGGGTTCATCCACAGGTACTGGTCAAATATTGATGAGATGATCCGAGAAGCCGTGGTGCTCAGAGGGGTCAGAGTTCACCTGCTCATAAGCTTCTGGAAGAAAACCGACCCCTTAACCTTTAATTTTGTGGCCTCCCTCAAATCTCTGTGTTTCCAACTGCACAACTGTTCCCTCGACGTGGTACGGGATTTAGATTTATTTTTAAARCTGTAGTTTTTCCACCTTTCACATTGTATTCAGTGGAAGTCAYGATGTCACTCTTTCCTCAGAAATTCTTTAGTCAGAAGGAGCAGAAGAAGGACTTTCAGCTCGGACTCAACCACAACAAGTACATGGTGACGGACAGCGCTGTCTACGTCGGTAGTGATGATTTGTTTTACTGTTTTTATGAGATATAGTTTGAACATCTGTAAAGAATAAAATGTTTTATAAAAATGCTTCCTTTATTTCCCCCACAGGAAACCATGACTGGGTGGGCAATGACTTTGTGGCTGATGCAGGAGTTGGRCTGGTTTTGAAGATGAAGGAAAGTCCAAAAGACAAAGGAGGGACAAYCCTGGAGAACTTTAGAGCTGCTTTTGAGAGAGACTGGAGATCACGTTACGCTAAGAACCTGCAGAAAAGCAAAGATCAACAGGGAAAATATAGAAATCTGCAGTGGTCTAAAAATCACTGGGATGTTCCAGAGGTGACTGACTGGAACAAGCCTTTATGAGCAGAGAATCTCTTTTCATTTGGCTTTATGAGCCTTTTATGCCTGAGAACTGTTCTACACTTTGAAACATTCATTTTTTGTGATCTGGTCTGAGAAAGTCTGTTTGAATTAACAAAGACAACATCAAAATGTCACTATGACTCAGCCGTTCACTATTTAATCTAATCTAAACTGTTCTGTGAGCATGCAACTCTGCACGAATAATGCAAACAATATACAATGCATATGCAAACAACGTAACAAATCAATATTTGCTGTTTGTTAAATTTGCTTATTTTTATCAAACTCAACAAAACTATATTTTACAGTTTTATAGTTTTAACATAAATTAATTAGAAATAATGAATGATTTTGGTTCGTAGCATGTAATAGCATTATAATTGTGCAGAAAAGGGATGCCCAATCCTGGTCCTCAAGGGCCACTATTCTGCATCTTTTAGTTGCTTTTTTCTTCTCTTCATTACGTCTAAAAGTAATGCAGAAGCCTGTAAGAACTCAATTTAAATCAGGTGTTTCAAAGATGGAAAACATCTAAAACATGCAGGATTTGCTCTTGAGGACCGGGATTGAGCTTCACTGGTGCAGAGATATGATTCAACCTAATGGACTGATGAAGTCATGAACCAAATCAAATGAATTTCAACTCAGTGACGCTTTTTTTTTATCTTTGTTTTGTAAAAATACTTCTGTTTCTTCTAACGGGTGTTGTTTAATTCTAAATGATGGAATCTGTAAGATGACCAATTTCTTTACACAAATTCCAATAAAACRGCTATGAAGTGCAGGTCAGTAAATTATTTGCTTTATCCTTGATTTAATGCACTGATTTCTRAACAGTAGTTCAATACGTATTTTAATGTGTTTGTTTAAGACTGTAATAAATTAGAATCACAGCATTTGTTTACTTGAAAGGACCTTTAAAAACAGCACCTGAATTGTTCAATTTAAAGCAAAAGTTTTCTTTTTTTTAACCTGATGCACTATGACTCCTTTGGTTGTACCTGTACGCTTTGTGTTAGTATAGAAAAAGGTTTATCAAAAAATAAAATGCATAAAGTATATACAGGTGCTGGTCATAAAATTAGAATATCATGAAAAAGTAGATTTATTTCAGTAATTCCATTTAAAAAGTGAAACTTGTTTACTTGAAAGGACCTTTAAAAACAGCACCTGAATTGTTCAATTTAAAGCAAAAGTTTTCTTTTTTTTAACCTGATGCACTATGACTCCTTTGGTTGTACCTGTACGCTTTGTGTTAGTACAGAAAAAGGTTTATCAAAAAATAAAATGCATAAAGTATATATTTTTAAATGGGCTATTCTTTGTTTAACAAGGCAAATCCAATTGAGATGAGAGATCTATATTTCAAGGGAGGTCTGGGCCAAGAATAGTTAAAAATCAGATATTTTCTTTTATGAATAAACTAAAACTTAACCTTAGTTAGATTTGTTTAAAACTTTGTTTTTGCAAGGTAAAATTAGGAGTGTTCCCACTTCTCACCACCAGATGGCGCTGTTGCATCACTCAGCAGCCAAAGTTTAGTAGAGTGAGTATTTTACGTTTGTGTTTAAAAACAAATTTGTCGTTTTCGAGGGCAGTCCAAGAGGTTATATTTTCTTGTGAAGAAAGAAGAAAAGGCTATATATTTTGTTTTAATTTACGAAATATGTTTACCATTTTTTAGCCCGCTTACAAAAGCGGAAGTGGGGAATTGTGATCAGGTGGGGAGTCGCCACGGCAGTAATAGATCAATGATAAAGACATGTTTCTGTAGCTAGCTTTAAAATACAAGCCTGAAGACCGGGAACATTTAGTTTAATTCAGTTAAGACTACATTGTTAGAAAAGGAGTTTGGTATTTTTGCTCTCTCCCTCTGTGTGTGAGGCGCAGGGAGGCTGAGTGGAGGAGGAGGAGGAGGAGGAGGAGGAGGAGGAGGGCTTGATGCCTTTGCACCAAATGACTGGACAGGGATGAGTGTGTTTCTGTGATGTCGCCGGACTAAATGCGGGGATGTTTTGGAGCTGCGACCGAGCAAATCTGTAACTTTGTATGAGATGTTTTGGACCTGCTGCAAGCTTGCATCCGTTTTGGGAAAAGGACGAGCTCTCATTTGCTGTCCTGATTGAAACAATTGCTGTTGGGACTAAATAAACAAATAAATCTCACAGGCAAAGATGGAAAGTGGAGTTTTTCTGCCTTCCCTGGATCAGTTCATGCTCAGCCCACTTGTCACTTGGGTAAGTATAAAAGGAGAACTTTTAGGCTGTGATTCTTGCAGAGATTATAAAATCTCTCTAACATCTTGCATCTTTCTTGTTAGGTGAAGACATTCCTTCCAAATGATGGAGGCGTTCATTTGGACTTCTCGGACCTGCTGGATGGAGTGGTTCTGAATGAGATAATGGCTCAGATGTAAGTCGGTTTGTGCAGAGGTGCCAGTGTTAGCCAAACATTTCATGATGAGGTAGTAGCTGAGAGTCATACACAACAAATACTCTGAGCGTTTGTCTCAYAATACAAGCTGTTCCGCGTTGTTTTCATGATTTGATCAAAAATAGCTGCAGCTCTGTCTCAACATGACATGATTCTTATCCAGGCACCAACAGTGCTGTCATTGTCACTCCGCAGTAATAAAGAGCATCTTTGTGATCAGTTTTAATCTTTAAAGATCACTTCCTCAACACTTAAAGCTTATTCAGAAAATTTTAAATTTGATTTTCAGTGTCAGGTTGAAGAAAAACAAGCTCAAACCTAAAAGGACATCATAGATGCTACTTAAGAGATTATAATTTGCTTGCCTTCTGTTCTGACAGCTTTACCCCCATCCTTAACAAACTGTCTGAGGCTGGGTGTGTTTCATGAAAGAGCAAAACTCTTTTTAATAACACCTGAGTTTGAGGTGTTGCAAAGGAAGAGAGGAAGCCGACAGTGTGGATGATTCCGTCTAGCCACCCCCAAGTTATCAACACTTCATCCCACTTATCCCACCCTCATGACCACAGTGACCAGCTCCTAATTCAAAAACAATGCTGCGATGAAGGGAGGGGACGAGGCGGGATAATCTCCCAGATTGGGAGACCCTCCGGGGATTAGGGCCTGCTGTTTAGTGGCAGTTGGGCGTAGCTGGAAACAGAACAAATAGCATGAAAAAAGGAGACGTGCAGGTTTATGACGCACAATCCAGTCACACGTATGTTGACRTGCCGTGTGTGTTTGAATCAAAGGGTTTAAATGTTGTGTGTTCTTGGTAACATATCTCGCTGCACAGACACCGAGCAAAAAAAAAGTGTGACCTACATATAAACACCACTGTGGTCAGCGAGTCACACTTTGACAGTTCACCTCAGGACTCCAGTGGAGTCGATACAACGGCCCAACGCTGCAGCTGCAGCGCTGCTCTGGAGTGGAAAATGGAAATGCCACACCAGTTTAACTCAAAGACACTCCAGTCTGGAAGAATGATGTCACACAGGCTAAAGTTAGGGATGAATGGCCAGTTCTTYGCCAAGATTTTCACCAGCTTGTAGTTTGCTCTCAGAGGCGTCTTGTTCACGAGTGACGATAGGATGGAGCAAGAGATGGATCGACAGATCATCAACAGTAATGAGGGCGTTGCTCCAGTCTACTGAAGGCTACTAGTCTGTTTGTTCCACCCATTGATCTATATTACTGGATTGGACATCGCCTATAGCCGCYATAGCTAGCGACGCGCCGTCATAGGAGCCATTGCTATGCATTGAGTCATGTCAGCAAAACAGAGTTTCAATGCGGGATGCAGTCTGTCACAGAAATATTCATAGCACCCTCATTTCTTATCTGATTTCTATAAAATATGGCTTAAATTAAAGCTGAGAAAATTGCCGATGTTGTGATATGTAAAAACTATGTATTTGCTCGAGATAAATCTATAAGCAGTCTGGGAAATTTTTATTATAGGTTTTTGCGAACGTATTTACAGTAGAAGCCCCTTTCTGTCACATCAAGACAGATTTGCTGTTCCAACAAATTATTATATATTTTTTATTAATAGTGTTATTATGTTAGGATAACATTGTGAGAGGTAAATATAATGGACAACAGTAAAATTACCTTTACTATTATTAGACTGAACTGTGTAGATATTACTGGTACTGATGTTCTGTCCAGTCAGTATGGTATATCCTGTAGTTTGTGATTATATGTCAGAGTAAAAAACTGTAACTTTTTTTTCCCTCCACCGTACATTTCATAAGCTAAGTGGTGGAGGGGCCGACCACATTTATTTTATGACCAGCTGGAAGAATTTGTCTTTTGTCATTTCAGCGCGAATCCAATCCAGTAATATAGATCAATGGTTCCAACTCTCACCGATGCTCTTGAGTTGKAGATTATGACTGAAATAACATGATCGCAGATACAATTAGCTGAAATAAGCTGCCTTCGTAGGGTGAGACAGGTGACAGGTTGAGGAGCTCCATCATCTGGGGGGAACCTGGAGCAGAGCCGCTGCTCCTCKGCATCATATGAGTCAGTTGAGGTGGTTTAGCTTCTGCCTCCTTGAAGCCTTCGTCTGAAGGTTTTCTGTGCACATCCTTCTGGGTAGAGACCCCAGTGCAGACCCAGAACATGCTGGAGGGATATATCCTCCCAGGACCTGGAGAGTGYTTCTTGAGAAGAGGATCTCTGGGTTACTCTCCTGGACCTGTTGTTCTACCCGACCATGGATAAGTTGTAGAAGACGAAGATGTCCKTTTGATGTATTTTTGTTTTGTTGAGGCCTGTCTTGTTTTCTAATTTTACAGATGCACATGTTCTAACATTGTGCTGCCCTGTTTTATATTGATTTCCGTTTTTAGAAATCCCTCAGCTGCACCTCAAGGTGCCAAAAACATCTGCAAAGATCCGAGTCAGAAGATCAGAAGTCTGAACTTTCTTGTTCAACAAATCAAGACTTATTATCTGGTGAGTGTTTCTTTGTTTTGTTTTTTGTTGTTGTTTTTTTTTTTTTTTTGTTCTTCTTGTTTTCTCATCTATGTTTCAAACCTTATAATCTCTTTTTAAATCAGGTTGGGAATATATTTTGGATTCTGCTACAGTTCCGTGTTGGCACACATTTCTTAAGACGTGTGGCCTAAATATGCAAACATCTGTATAATCAGAACACAGAAGGTAAAGCTGCAGTCAGAGCCACAGAGAGACAGAGTGACTCACTGAATCAGTGAGGCTAAAACCTTGATTTGTCCGTTTGTTTCTCAGGTTTTAAATCATCTTTGAGAAACTTGAGCATTAAGAATGGCTCTTATTGAAAACCATGCATTTAGAACATCTTTTAAAGTAAGTGCTGCTGTTTATTTTGGGTTACTTCAAGGCTCAGTGGAAGAAAATTCAATCCATCTGTTATTGAAAAGCAAAAATAGTTTCAACTTAGACCTAAGTGGTAGTCTAGTGAAGACCACTGATTTAAAAAGCAAACATCTCGTGCAATTTCTACATTTGTGTGAGCAGTAAAAAGTCCGATAAATTAATTTGAGTGTTTTGGTTTGGTTCTGAGACCTGCTTGTAATTTAACATGAAGAAAAGTAAAAAAAAAAAAGCAGCATAAATTTCTGCACAGCACAAGAAACAGCAGCCTCTGTGACGAGCACTGATTCATTCGAGCACAGTTTGAATGAGAGGAGCTGGAGGATGGTGAGTTTGCAAAACGGCTCACAGAAGCTGCTGCAGAGGCGTATCGGGATCGATCAGCCGGTGGCCTGTCGATTGTGTCAACATGCTCAAAGCGAACATGATAAAGCTGCACAGCTGTGTTGTTTGTCAGGATGAGATTCATTTGCTCCGAACACAAAGTGCATCTGATATACAGGAGTGTATTTCTATAGCACGAGCTAAATGAAACTTTTTGTTTTGATGGTTACTCAAAGTATTTGGGACTGTCACAGCACACTGCACCATTCAGCATCAAATGCTAAATGAATAGTAATTGTCACCATTAAGATTCTTCCCACACACTCGCCAGCAGTTCCACATCCATGGATCTAAGCACCTATAGCCCTGAAACAAGGCTTCACTTTTGGAAGGATTCAGCTCTGCACCAGGGAAACAGGCTGCACCCTTTAGCACACATTTGTTGGCATCTTATCTATACATGTGTTGTGGATGCCGCTACRAGCTGAACACACACACACACACTCACACACAACAATATCTAGTGAATTACTTTGGCAGGAGTTCAAGTTTTCTCTCATCTCTATTTCACTTTAGCCAAATTGTGCATACCTTGATTTCCACCACCTCTCTGTTCTGTTTCTCCTTTTTTCTCCCTGTAGGATCATCTGAGACAGTTAATCGTGATTCCTTTGCCAGACGTGTTGCTGCTCGCCAGCACTCCTTACTGCGGTAGGCTTTTTAAAACCCGCTCACACGACTCTCTGCCTTAGTTTGCAGCTGAAAGCATGTCGAGTGCTTCCACTGATGCTAATCATCTGCAGAAAGGATTGTGTGTCTTTTGCTGCTAAATGTAACATACTGGAGAGTTTTATCCAATTTTTATCTTTTAACTGCAACTAGAAAAAGTGTATTTTGTGTGTAAATGCTGAATGACTGCGRATGTTTGCTGAATAAGCTAAAACTGAGTTGCTAAAATTCGCAAAAATAATGTTTTTGAAGAAAATTTAAATGCTTTTAAAAGGGGAAAATATTTGTAAACAAAATTCAGCTCATAACTAGAGTTTTCTGCTTTTTGTGTAGAACAAAGCCTGGATGAAATGAAGAAACTTTTGCTGCTGCTGTTGGGATGTGCAGTCCAGGTAGATCATATTCATATTATTTCATTTTTACTGCATGTTAAGTGCTGATGCTGGCCTCTTTTCAGTGTGAGAAGAAGGAGGAGTACATCGAGAGGATCCAGACACTTGACTTTGAAACGAAAGCTGCAATAGCTGCTCATATTCAGGAGGTACCGGGCTTTTCTACACTGCGCTGTCGTGCTGTTATCGTGTTTACAGAGAATCACTCGTTATCCACGGAGCCGATTCATTTCTGCTGTTTTACAGCTGACCCACAGTCAGGAGAACGTGTTGGACCTACAGTGGCTGGAGTCTGATGAAATGCAACCAGAAGAGATGGAAACCGTTTTGAGGAACATGGCCTCACTCCTCCGACAGCTTCTGGACCAGAGAGACGCACATCTGGAGGTTTTAGTTTCAGTTTGTTTACTATGTTATAGATGCAAAGTGTGCATCAGCAGACATGAGAAGTGTCTCAGTTCTCATTTCTTCTTCTCTGCAGACTATAGCAGATCTAACGCAGGAGAAAGAAGGAGTTGTGACTTTGCTTGGGAACCCCTCCGCCCCACAACCTGATAGCTTTTCTCCCAGCATGCAACAGCAGCAGAGAGGGACGCCACAACACCTGGGGGTGGAGCTGGCTGACTCCAAAGCAAAGATCAGACGACTCAGACAAGAACTGTAAGAACTCAAAACATGGAGGAGATTTATTATCTTTAAACCTACAGGAATGAGCTTCAGATTTAAGACACGGTGTGCGTTTAATGAAACAGAATAGTTTGACATTTCCATCAATCTGTACTGTTTTAAATAATATTTTATATTTACTTTATTGATATATTAAATATAAATATGCATTTTTTATTTATTTTTTATTCATTTCATTAAAAACAAAATTACTATATACAATAGAAAATAAAAATGTACAAATCAAAGATCAAATAAAATGAAAGGCAGCAGAAAGAAGAAAAAAATCTGCCGCTATTATCCCAAAAATACATTCAAACATTAGWAATTTACAAAAAACAAAGTTAAATAAAAACATCAGCTCAAACAACTATACATATGTACATACATACAATACATACMTACATACATTCACATTYTGCYTTTCCATATTTCTTCAAATAACTAACTTTTATCATTCTCTTAAATATGTACATTTTTCACATGTGATGTTACAGAGTTCAGAGCTTCTTTTATTTGAACAACTTGTTTCTTATCTTTCAAATAGCTAGATACCCACTATAGTGCTGGTCCTCTAATACCATATTTATTTAGCTTTAAAGGATCTTGTGATGACAAAAAGAAGAAATCATTCTGATGTTAGATGTTCGAAGCTAACGGAGCTTGTAAAGATGCCTTAAAGCTACTGATAAAAATACAAAATACAACAAAATAAATTACACAAGTTTTTTCACTAAAAAACAAAAACGTTTTTCTAACACTTTAACTCACTTTATTTGTTATATTTCTATTCTCAGAATATTTTCATGTGATCCTTTGAAGTTTATAATCGTAAGATTTTAATAATCATAAAACTTAGTGAAATGCAGCAGCACAGGACTGCATCATAGTTTTTATCGCAYTAAAACTTCATTTTGTAACCTTTATGATTACTATAATTTTATGATTAAAACTCTAAAATGTCTTTTGTTTATTTTTCTCTCCATGATTTTCTTCATGTTTTGCAGTTTTATATCATCTATGTTTTATTTACATTGTTAAAAACTATAATTCTGTGGACTCCTCCTCTGTGTAGCTGCCAGTAGAGAGAGAGAGAGAATGAGAGGCAGTGAGAGAGTAATCCAGGATAAGAGATGCCCTGCAGAGTTTGGCCCACATTGCTGCCTGCTTGGCAGGTTTCACTGCCGTGCTCTACCACTGACCCACATTTGCTTTGCATTGCACCACACACATGCATTAACCCTGATCCAATCAGGTCTCAGTTACAGTGCTGCTCTCCATCCAGTCATTGCTGATGTTTTATCCTCTTGTTGGAAGAATAAAACATCCTGGTTCACAAACGGTTGCCTCTAAGGGAACACCGTTTCACACAGAGACATCAGGCAGGGCTTAACTCTGCACTTTTCATGACCTGGACTGCTGCTGCTATTTCATGTATTAAAAATGTCTTTAATGTTTTGACAGTAATAAAAATCTATCATGAGTTTATGGAGAAGAGGATAAAATCATGTTTGAAGTTTTACATCAACACTAGAAATGTACACTGAACCTTTGTGGCACTAACAGCCTTTTCCTTTTGAATTTCTCATTAACACCAACATCTGGCTGATGGTACAACCACAGAGAGGAGAAGAGTGAACAGATGCTCGACTGCAGACATGAGCTGGAGAACATGGAGACAGAACTGAAGAGGATCCAGCAGGAGGTACGAAGTCAGAAATAAACTAAATCACAGCTACTTTTAGCATAATGTTTCCTTCTCTTTTTTTTTTTCGCCACTTCAGTAGAAAGCAGAACTGAATATCTGAATATTAGTATCTTAACTTCTTCATCATCAGTGGCTTTTTTAATAGGAGAAAAAGAAAGAGAGAGAAAAAAGTGAAATGTAACGAGAAAGAGTGAAAGAGATTAGAAGATATGTGAAATATATGTTAAGAAAACACAGGACAGCACACCCGACATCTTGGCTCCACACCTACAAAAACAAAGATAACAAAACCACAGCAACAAAAATGCATAATTATATAATTATAATGACTATAGCCTTGCTGAAAACCATACCCATGAACATATATAAATTTATACATACACATAAACATACCCATACCTACATATCCATACACTTTCACATATATATACACATACACATATACATATATCTATACATACACATATGCACATACCATTCAGTCAGTGTCCGAATAGAAAACCCAGGATGTAAACACCTGTTTGTGTGCGGTTGTAGCATAATGTTTCCTTCTAACGTACCCAGACTGATAATCATTAGTGACARTATTTTTCTAAACTGCAACACCTGAAATTAATAAAACTTCAACAAACTGARCCCAGTCTGCCGACAATACATAAAACATGTATTCAGAAGACGTGCGCTGTCAGACTGAAGCGTCATCTCAGTGTGAAGTTGTGAAACTGAAGGCTGAAGGTTTAATCCGTGCACATCATAATAAATAGTTCAATTTTAAATGATAGTCTTTTGAGAGGCTCTTAAAGGGACTGTAAAAAAACAAGTGCATTTCTGTTAACATGTGGACCTGAACCAGAACTCCCAGCTGCTCGTGGAYGCCCGTGCCGCCCGCACCTATCGGGACGAGCTGGACGTCCTGAGAGAGCGAGCCATCAGGGCAGACAAGCTGGAGAGCGAAATCGGACGCTACAGGGAGCAGCTGCACAAGATGGAGTTCTACAAAACCAAAGTGGAGGTTGAAGCTTTCATTTTTTTTTTTTGTCAGGGTTTAATTTTAGCTACACTTAGGAAATGACTAATGGATGAGTTTAATTTATTGTGGATAAGATTGCAACATTTKATGCAAAAGATGTGTTTTATTTTTTATTATCTAGAGTAAGATATGCAGATGAAGTATATACAATATTGTCTAGAGTAATTTTCAGTGTGTAKATGAACTGTATGTGTCTGTTTGTCATGTCAGGAGCTAAAAGAGGACAACAGGGTGCTGCAAGAGACCAAAGAGGTGCTGGAGGAGCAGCTGGAAGGCTGGAGGACTCGAACAGATAAAATCCACCTTCTAGAAAAGCACAATCTGCTGCTGAAGGCTCGGATCCATGACATGGAGCAGGTACACAAATTCATCTTGTATTTTGTCTGTTCGAAAGTAAGAATAATGTTCTCCTCGTACTTATAAGGCTAGTTTGTGATTTTAGGACAAGGAGTCGGATATGAGGCACATCAAGGAGCTSCAGGAGGAGAACCTGGCTCTGTGTTTGGCTCAGAGGAGGAGCATGGAGGAATCCCAACACCTGGGCTGGGAGCTGGAGCAGCTCTCCAAGAGCACAGAAGCCCCTCATGGTGAGAACGGTGGGATTCTGTGGCTAGTATCTGACTTAAGCAGACAGAAGTGATTTCATCTTGYACCTCTAATAACGGCAATTTAATGTATTGACAACATTCGAAGCRGGTGCACCAGGAAATCACTTCAGTCCGTACTAACCAATAGGAACACGTCTTACATAGTTCCTCCTTACCCCTAATTTACACTACATGCGTTACAGCTCCGCTCCGCTCCGGTCCGACCTCCGCAGCAAATACGTATCCATTCTAATCAATGAGAGTGTTTACACTGGCTGCGCACAGTGGCGGTGAGCAGACGGTGATCCGGCAAAGTTAGATCCAATTCCATTTCTGCCAAATGCCGGAGCTGCGCCGGAGTCAATTTTCAAAGATTACGTCACACCAACAGGAAAAGAAACTAGCACAACATCCGTATTTTCAAAATAAGACACTATTAGGTGGGATAATTTGTCGGAATAATGGCGAAATCCCAGCTATATTAATAAATATATGGATATATTTCTAGACAAATGCTGGCAGAATGTATCATTCGGTTTGGGAAGCAGATGGAAACATGTAGCATGAAGCATATGTGCACACACGATACACGTGGATTTTATTTTGAAATCAGAAGTTTCAGAAAGACGACAGCGAGACAGTTTCAACATAGATACCAGAAGCCTTTATGTCAATGTTTTCAGCTGTGTTTGGAGTTCGTCTTTCACAGAATTAATTATTTTTTGCTGTGACTTCCACATTTATCACTGAATTTATTGCGCRATCTCCTTCCTCCACACTCTCTGTCGGACCGGGTCTGTATAAATTGAGACACAAACGAACAGCTGCAACCTGCGCACCGCAACGCAGCGGAGCGGAGACGCATGTAGTGTAAATCCGGGGTTAGACCCTGCCCCCGGTTGTTCATGTTCTCTGAGTTCAAAACCTTTTTGAGTTCAACCAAAAACTTAGAGCTTCAACCAAAAGTTTGAGATTTAACCAAAGATTTCTGGCATGCAAAAAAATAAAATAAAATAAAATTGTTTTGCCAAAACTTTTTAATATTTTTTTCTTTATTATTATTATTATGTTTTAGAAATTGCTTTTTTGTTTGGTTGAAAAAAAATATTTTTTTGGTTGAAATTTTGATTGAAACTAAACTGTTTGATTAAACAATAAAAAAGAAAATTATCTCTATACACTTTGCTTTTCTATTTATATGAAAATGAAAAGGTTTCTAACACCTAACTCAACTCTGTTTTAAATAAAAGGATTTTTAGATGAGCTTGGTGCCTCAACACCGTGCTTATCTTATTGTTYACGGCTCAAATTTCCACCTTCTTTGCAGCAAAAGTCATACTTTATTTACTGTAATTAAGACAATGGCAAATCTAACATAAATGTAAAAGCATTCGATGGCTTTCCCACATTTATCCACTTGGCTAGTTTTAATCTGTAAAATCCAGCAAGGCAACAACTGTATATTTTTTCTAAAGGGCATCAAACTCTGAGTGAAGAGGTCAGTGAGAAAACACGAAGTCAAATTCTGAAGCTGGAAAAAGAGAACCAAAGTCTGCTGAGGATCATCGAGGAGCTCAGCTGCACAAAACCCAAATCCAGCCGCCGCGTGGTGTGCAGCCCCGACAACTCTACCTCATCAACAGGGGGCTCCTCCGTCATGCAAACCTCCTGCTCCGTTACAGAAAACTGTCACACTGCACTAACACAGAACGGAGACTCAAACTGTCATCAGGAACCTGTTCGAGAAGATCTGGAGGATGAGATCTTTCTCACAGATAATCCAGAACTGTGTACGCAGGAGGGAGTACAGTCAGGAGATCACAGCAGTGCAGAGTATTTTAACAAGATGACGTCAGATCTGGATGTTTTACAGAATGCCAACAATACACTGCGTTGCATTGTTGGAGCAGATGATCACTCCTATCGTTTAAAGAGCAGCAGTCCTTGTCATGACGTCTTCACAGATCTGCCAGCACGTTCCTCTTATGTCAGCAAGCATTCAAAGCGACTGGAGGTTAAATGCAGGGGTCTGCACACAGCTAATCAGCAGCTACAGACTTCTCTTTACAACACCGGTAGGTCCATTAAACTTTAAATAATTAGACAAACAATACAAACATTACAGGAACGTTCAATTTTTTTTTTTACCTTCCTCTGTCTCTCGAGAGCGAAAAGTTCAGCGCCTGGAGGCAGAAGTTCAGGAGCTGGAAGCTGAAAACCAGACTCTGCAGGCCTCCTTGGAAGAACTTCGGATTTCTGCGAGACGTTTGGAGCAGGTGGAAGCAGAGAAGCAGAACCTGGAGCATGAATCCAGTGCTCTGGAAAGAGACAAGAGGCAGCTGGAGAAAGAGAATCGACGACTCCGGCAGCAGGTAGAAACCCTTTTTTTTTTCCTTTTAATGCTGGGAAAGCTGTCAGTTTCTAACCGAAGTCTGAATTTTAAAAAAAGCTTACAGCTTATGTATCTTCATCGGTTCCAGGCTGAGATTCAGGAAGCCAACTTAGACAACCGTACTGTTTCCATGGCTAGCTTGGAAAGAGAGTTTCGTTTCCTACTGCAGGAGGTGGAGGGTTTAAGGGAGACTTCAGGGAGGGTCAAAGTACTCGAGAGCAACATTAAAGAACTGACCAAACAAGCAGCTATTGACCAGAAGACCCTGACAACCCTCAGGCAGGTGAGGACAGACTGAATACTCTCATAGATATTTAGAAATAGATAAAACTTTTCTAAAGTCACTTAACACGCCTAAAGTTTTAGCCATGTTGCATGTAAGAATGAGAACTAATTATGTGTCATTTCTTCAGGAGTTGGTGAGCGAAAAGCTGAAAACTCAAGAAAGAGACAGAGAAGTGGAGAGAATTAGCCATGAGCAGGAGACAAAAGCCCAGGAGAGTATGCAGCAAGAAACAGCAGATAACAGGTGTGTAGATGCTGCTTAGAGCTGATTGTTTCCGTTTAAACATCAAGTTTTTTAACATTAAATCTTCTTATGTTATCTTTACAGCAGGTTTAAGATGCTAGAATCGGAGCTGGAGTCGTCGCTTAAAAACTCCCTGCAAATTAAAGATGAGAAGATAGCTGCTCTGCAGGCTCGTCTGCAGGAATCCTCCTCCCTCAACCAGCAGCTGCGTCAGGAGCTGAAGGCTGTAAGACGTGTTGGAAAGTTCTAACCTTCAGGTCTGTTAGACTCCAGGTGTTTCAACCCTCTTCTTCTCACAGTTGAAGCTGAGCTACGAGGCTTTACAGCAGAGGTGGCAGGAGGAGGAGGAGTGGACGACATCGAGCTCCAGTCCTCCAACAGAGGCCAGCAGGTCCATGACCGAGTGGCTGCGAGGAAACCAGGAGGCCACCAAGGAACTGCTGCAGCTCAAAGATCGCCTCATTGAAGTGGAGAGAACCGTAGGTTYATGTCAGGACAAGAAGCTGAATCAAACTGCAACATGATGCAGTGTGTCGGATTTGTTGGCTTATTGTTTTTCTTATAAATAATTAAAGTATTGTTTCGCATAATCTCATGCATTAAAGGGATCCCCGATTACTTGTAACGTTAAACTTTATTTGAAAAACGTATATTTTAACTGTAAAGTAAAGACTGTAGGATGTTTAGTTTTGTAAATTTTTAAAATATACATTTTAACACTGACGGAGCCATTTTATTTACACACAAAGCATTCTGGGTAAATGATRACGTGGATAGGTCCTCGGTGCGAGGCTGCTAGCGAGCTAAATCCACCCTGAAGGTTAATCTTGGACAATATCTGATGATCGACTCTTTTAAATGAAACCAGAGAGCGTTGACAGAGAGGAGAAGGTAGAAATGACTCAGCCTGGAACTGAAAATATGGATGGAGGACAACAGAGCTGCTTCATGGAAGAAGAACCTCAGCCTAGCCTGTTAGCCTTTGCGCTAGCGCTGACGCTATATTGCCTTATATGTATTAGCTCGACGCTAGCGTGACAAACAAGCTAAACTGAGGTCATTCATCTATATTTTCAGTTGCAGTCTCCATCATGTAGATGGAGGACCTCAGTGACGAGAGGAGAATATGTAGTGCTGAGCTAATTCATATATATGGTGATAGCATCGGGGCTAGAGCTAAAGCTAACAGTCTAAGCTGAGGTTCTTCTTCCATGAAGCAGCTCTGTTGTCCTCCATCCATATTTTCAGTTACAGRCTGARTCATTTCTACCTTCTCCTCTCTGTCAACGCTCTCTGGTTTCATTTAAAAGAGTCGATCAGCAGATATTGTCCAAGATTAACCTTCAGGGTGGATATAGCTCGCTCACACCGATCACCTGTCCATGTCATCATTTACCCAGAATGCTTTGTGTGTAAATAAAATGCCTCCGTCCGTGTATTATATTTTTAAACTTTTAGTTTTAAAATGATAAAAACTAAACAGCCTAAAGTATTTTTACAGTCTTTATTTTACAGTTAAAATATATATTTATTAAATAAATCTTACAACTAATCGGGGATCCCTTTAACACAAGACGTGCTGTAAATGAGTCCAGTGAAAACCACAACAAATCTCTGTAAAATTGACACAAGTAAAAAGATTATTATCATTATTAGTTATCTGTAATGAACGCAGGTTGTCCATTAGCCTGGTAAAAAACCAGCTCCTTGTCCTTCGCTTTGCTTCATACAGAGGGTCTGGACTCTCGGCTATTGAGAAATGATTTCTTGTTGGAGGCGTGGCCTTTGTTGCAGTTTAAAACAATTGGCTCTGATTTACCCAATCGCTAATGTTTGGATGTGATGTATGTGAACCGTGAAGGAAGCTAAGCTAAGAAGCTAACCAGAAATTGCGTGCTCTGTAAACAACCATCCGTTGGGAAGAGAGAAGTACTGAGCTGGAAAAAAAACAGGCTGTAAATGATGCTGCAGGTTTTGTGAGACAAATTTAATTCAATTTGGAAGCCTTKTCAACACAGACTGGCTTCATTTTCTTCCTCTACTGCCTACGCTAAACTACAGGCAGAAAATGGACATCGTCGTCTTCTGTTCGCTGATTGGCCCGGTTGAAATTCTAAAAGAGAAATCCTTATCTATGGGAGAAATCACAGGAAAWGCAGTGGAGGAAAACTAGAATTGAGCAGAACTGTGCAGGAAGGCAAGGGCCAGGCTAGTTGTCCAGAAGTAWCGTTTATTCATTTTCATCCCATCTTGGTTCTCCTCATCTGCAGAATGCGACCCTGGAGGCGGAGCGTCAGGCTGTGCAGGGTCAACTAAAACAGTTAGAAAGTCAGTCAGACAGCCAGCAGGCTCAAATCCTGGCCCTGCAGAGGCAGGCTGCTTCACTGCAGGAGAACAACACAGTCCTGCAGACACACAACGCCAACCTGCAGGTGCCATTACCACACTCACTGTTCTCTGCAGTAATCTTCAGAAAACAAGTTCCAGAGCAGTCTCCGCTAATCCTCACCTCCTCCGCAGGTGGAGAAGTCCACGCTGAACTCCCAGAGCGCCTCTCTCCTGGCCCAGAATGCTCAGCTGCAGCAGCAGCAGTCCAGGATGGAAAGCGAGCGGGACGGCGCTGTACGGACACACGAAGAGCTGCGCGGCGCTCACGAGCAGCTGCTACGAGATCACGAGCGGCTGACGGTTCTGCATGAGCGCCAAGCCATGGAATATGAGGCCCTGATGGGCAAACACACCTGTCTGAAAAATGCCCACCGCACGCTGGAGCTGGAGCACCGATCATTACAGGACAGGTGAGAGGAGACACGGTCAGTAAGTTTTACAGATGTTMATGTTAACGTGGTGTGGCATTAAAGAGCCTGTGACGTGCCTGTCCTTCAAATACAAAAAGTCAAAGAAAGCATCTTTATACTTAAGAGAATTGGCATAGTACACATGATTTTACCCATTTTGTCACATAACTGGCCTATTTTCTTTTGAATTTGGCTAAGCCAAAGTGAAACAGGAAGTGACRTCAAAGGGGAACTCATTAATAAAATAAACTTGCTGGTCTGTTTATTAGAACARAATTATTTAAACTTTAACTCTTCTTTGTCTCTCTTTGAAAACGATAAAAAATAATCTAAAGAAACAGCAGATTCTTCTCTACAGTCTGTTTTGTTGTGCTTTTGTAACAACGCTCTGTTTACATGCTGACATTCCCCTTTGACATCACTTCCTGTTTCCTCAYATGCAAATATCTCAACAACCGTTCATCTCAGYGAGTYGAAATTTGTTTTGCAATACGTTATCAATGTTATCTTTCCAAAAAYGCATTCAYGTTTATTACAARRATTTGATGTCACAGGCACTTTAACTGAGACTGRTCTCTAACTTTTAATCTGAGGCAATTATTTTCAAGATTTGACCAAAGGAGTTCCATTATTTTCCAATACATGATGAACTCTTGACAGGCAATAAATTCCTTCAAGGAAAGCTAGGTCTCTAATGTTTCTGTTCATGTCTGTTGGGATGGTTTTAGGTACAACAATCTGTTGCAACAGAGGACCAAGCTTGAGGACCAGGAGAAAACTCTGAAGGAGGAGCAGATGAGGATGACTCTGGAGAAAGAACAACATCAGACAACAGCAGCCGAATGTGGCAGGCTGCGGGACGAGAAAAACTGGTAGAAAAACGCAGACACTGGCCTATAGACTGTTCTAAATGCAGTGCGTTAATACTGCTGTGTCTGCTTCAAGGCTCAACCAGACGTACCGCCAGCTGCTCAATGACAACGAGGCGCTGAGCGAGGATCACAAGCAGCTGAAGAGCCAGCTGAACGACAGCAAGCTGGAGCACACCTGGCTGGAGGCAGACTTTTCCAAACTCAAAAAGGAGTTTCAGGAGCTGGACATCACCTCCACAAAACTGAGCAACCAGTGTGAGGTGAGAGCATGCAGACTGTTGCCATCCTCTCAGATCAACTCTTAAAGGGGAAATGTTTTGCTAAATCCACTTTTTTAGCTGTTAAATGCATTTTGTTGTGCACTTGGAGTTTTTATGAGTGCATAAAAGTTGAATTTAGTCTCTCCTGGTGCTACAAAGTTATCTTTATACTCTGTTGGGGGTCATATTTTTCAGCCCTTTCTGTTTTCTCTATTTTCTGTGATGTTTCCTGAGTTTATTACATCAAATTATCTGCAACAGAATTACCAAATAAGGTCTGGACTTAACAGCTACAATTTCCTCCTTAATTCTCCTCTGGCTCTAACATGAAAAGCTGGATGGACAAGTCTTCTGTTGTCGACATCTTTTAATTAAATTGTAAATAAAATGTTTCTGCAAGCAAGAAAACTTGAACCCCCTCTCTCAAACTGGTGTCGGCCGGTCCGGAAGTCGGAGTGGGGCGGGACTTGAAGCATCTTAAAGGAACAGTAACAAAACAAGCTGCTTTGAGGCACTCACCAGAAAAGGGGTGAAATAGGGGCAGGTAAAGTTAAAAAAAAAAGAGGAATTCAGACCAAAACTTTGTCATTCCACTTTATAAAAACCCCAACTGATGATTTGATTGTGAAAAGGAAGGATTTAAAAGCACAAAATGTCAACTTTACATAATATTCAGACAAACTAATTGTGGAATTTACTTTGTGATGTGATTTACCTGAAAAAAAAAAGTTTTTGTTTTCATATTTACGTGTCACACGTATCCCTAATTAGTTGCTGGGCCAGCTGAAAGGAAACCTGGAGGAAGAAAATCGCCACCTGCTCGCTCAGATTGAGACACTGATGTTACAGAACCGCACCTTGTTGGAGCAGAACCTGGAAAGCAAGACCATGTTTCATGTTGAAGAGCGGCAGTATATGTAAGACACGTATTAATATTAATATTTCCTGGATTTATAGTAAGTTGTATAAAAAAAACAGTATCATGATCTGTGTTTCTGTTTGTTCAGTGACAAACTTAATGATTTGAGGAGGCAGAAGGAGAAGCTGGAGGAAAAGATAATGGACCAGTACAAGTTTTATGAACCTTCACCTTCTCGCAGGTATGTAGGCTGTCATAGTTTTCTTTTTAATATACAATTAGCTCTACATTTAAACTGACCAATCAAACTCAGATTTCTACAATGATAACCTGTCAAGAAGATAAGATCAACTTTGAGTAAAGCCAGATAGTGATGATTTTGGCTATTTATGTTCGCCCCACATTTACTCACAGACGTGGAAGCTGGATAGCTCTAAAACTCAAGAAACTAATCAAATCCAGCAGCCGTGAGCACGGACCCGAGAGCTCGAACTCGGCTGTGGCCGAGCCCCAGACCTCCTCTCAGGACAACGGCTCCCTCATCAGCTCAGACGGATCCGGAGGCTCCGCCTCCACCTCTGCAGGTGAAGCTGTCTCACAGCAACACACCAGCAGTGAGTACGACCTTCTCAAACTCTTCAGGTCCGCCGTCACGAGCAGATGATTCAGATTGTTTACATCTGGTCCAGGGAGGCATCAGTGAGTCAGCTGCAGTTTCGTCTTCAACTAAAGCTGCATTCAAAAGACAGACATCTTCTGAGACAAAATAAAGAAAGAAAAGGAAAAAAATTGTTAAACTTGTTTCAAATAAATCATTTGGAGAACTGTTTATAGCTTTGCTTTTGTGTTTAATTGTGCTTATTATTGACAACTTTTACACAGAGCTGTTAATAAATGTGCATGACTGCACTGACTATAAATAAYATTCAGTTAATAAAAGCCTAGCATTTCTTGAAGGAATACATATCACCACCTTTTATGCCAGAGTTTCAGTCTAAGATCACTGATCTAAGACTAAGATCAAAGGACAAACCCTGAAAGTAAAGTTGTCCACATTCTTAGGATGCCTCACTCAGAGTACGTGTTGTAAATGACTCACAACTGTCCACATAAAACGTTATCTTATTATCTGTCAAATTGATATTATTGAGTTATAACTTTTTAGATTTTTAATCAGGTTAAAGTTTAATCAGTTGCAGATTTTTGCAAGTCTGTCCAGTGCTTCATGCAACAATTTACTGACAGACAGACACACAAGCAGAAACATTATCACTCATCTTTGCTTTTAGGCTTTGGCTGATAATAAATCCTACATTTGAATTTCCTACTGAACTCTTTCAAATCAAGCAAATGTTGCACAACTCATTCTCTTCCCTGTGTCTTTTTTGTCCATTTGTATTTACTCTGCCCTCCCTTTTTCCCCTTGTTCCTTCCCTCCCTGCCATCCCCATCTGTCTGTGTCCCGTGTGGTCACACTTTGTCAAAAAGCCCCCCTGAAAAAGTTTCCCCATTTGAGAACCAGGCTAAAGAACAGAGACAAAGTCAAGTTCCTCTTCCGTCGTTCCATGTGTAAGAAAGACTGCCCTTCCCGTCTCTTGCCTTTTCATTTTATTCTTACTGCAAACCCTCCTGCATCGTGTGCTGTAGCCCTCTWAGGTCTGGGGTCTAAATAGCTGTTTTTGGCTCATTTTGAATTCACCCTTATATTTTCACCTTTAAAAACTATTTTAGCACAACCAAAATGTTGACAACGTTCCGTTCTCCCATCTCCAAAAATACTCTTTTGCGTTCTCCACAAGTGTGCTGACAAACTTTTTTTATTGATTGCTTTGGAAATGTAGTTCATTTCAGGAAATTGGAAAAATGGGTGTCATGTTGCATTCAAGCACTTCCTGGTCAAAAAACGTTCACTGAAAGTGCAGCTAATGCATAAAACTGCTCACAAAATTATGGCGAAAATGATTTATCATAAATCTGGTTTCATTTGGAAGTAAATAAAAAACAAAAACAATATAAAAACACTACTTTTATAGAGTTTGAAGTCTGTGCTGTCCAACCCAGTTGAAATAAGCACTCAGCACGCTGCCATTTTTGTCACAGTAGCCCTTAAATGTGTCACGTCGATGGACCTTAGAGGGTTAAGCTCCTGTATCACTGCTGTAAGGCTTGTAAAACACCAGCCGAGTCCATCAAAGCCAGCTACATTTCATCAGACTTCACACAGTCAGGACAAGTTATTTCCTATCATAATCAAGCTTTAAGTGTTTTATGTTCCGGCTGTTTTAGAGCCAGTCTGATCTATTATTAGAATGGCTGAAAGTAAAAATGCTGCATTACAAGAAGACGCTGACACTGCATGAGCTTCGCCCTGCCAGTGGCCACAGTTTTAGAGTATAAGCCTGAGCCGCTTAAAATTAAAGAGAAAAAATAGGTTCCTCATTATCGTCTTTGTTTCACCTGTTTCTTTCCCCACCACCACTTCTTCCATCCCTTCACCCATCGATGTAGCTTTGAGCAGCTTATCCCACCCCTCGCCCTCATTTGAGGCAAAGCAGGAAGCGTCAGAGGCTGAGGTGGAGGAAGACCGGCTGACTTCATCTTTTACTTCCTCCACTTTGTCCCTCCTTCACCCTCCCACCACTCTGCCATCCAGCCGTTTTCACAGCTCCATCACTGACACTGTTCCAGATGTTTCTGCRCTGTGGGGGACAGGTAGCTTTCAAAAACCACCTCCTGTTTCATTTCATCCTCATTAATGCCGAAGTAGAATAACGTGTAGAAACTGCAACAAACCGTGCACGCTTTTTCATGTCAAAACATCCTTTTCTGTCTACCACTTCAGTGATTTTTCACTTTATGCCTTGCAGTCAAAGATTGGAACGGCAGCACGGTGCCAGCTGGACGCGAGGACGGCGACAAGCTGCAGAATCACGGTAAAACCTTCTGGATATTTGTTCAGAGGATTCAGCATGCAGATGTGTAGCCAGCTCGGGAATTAGGGTCAGCTCTTCAAATTGTAGTCATGACCTTATTTTTAAATTAATCTCTTGGCTGATCACAGAGGCCAACAACTGGTTGAGGAAGACTTTACTCTGCTGCTCCCTGTTGGAAATTAGAAATATGATACAAMTGAGAGAATTAAAAAAAAATTAGAATGCATTAATTTACAAATCTTTAAATTTTCACATATAGTAAAATACATATCAAATGTTAACTTAAAGGATTTTTTTTAATTTAAAAAGTAATGTAGTTTTGAATATTATGACAGTAATAGGTCTCAAAAACGTTGGGGCAGAGGCACCAAAAGTCTGTGGTATAATAAAAATATTTGGAAGAGCGTTTTGCATTAAACTGGGTTCACTGGCAACAAGTCAGTAAGGGGACTAAAAATATAAAAAGAGTGTTTTAGAGAGGTTGAATCAGCTTCCACGTCTGCACAGGCACCATCAGTGAAGAAAGGTACATCCATGTTTTAGTACATATGATCCCACCCAGCAAAGACCTGGGGTCGGATTTATAAAACTGGTGTACGCACAATTTGAGCCCAGAAACTTGCGTACGCCACTTTTTACGCCAAGGTTGTGATTTATAAAATCCAAACTTGACGTGAAAATGTGCGGTGCCTCACGCCAGHTYTGRCCCATGCGTACGCTCATTTTGGAGACGTGAAACTGCGACACAGATGGTGACGTGAAGAATTAGAGCCATGCTGTTTAATGATCACTGTCAGAGATTTAATTTACCTTCATAATCAGACTTAAATAAAAGTTCCCGTGCGCAACTCCATTCATCTGCTTCCTCCTCAGAYAACCCYRACCCACACAGACCCCTCCCCGATAAGAACAGCAGGACAGCAAAAGCTTTGGATACACACGCAGGGTGTGTATCCAGTCCGTGTTTGTCGCGCACGCGGGGGGGATGCGTGCATTCGTGTGTGTGTGTGCGTGCGCGCGCGGGGCGGGGGTCTGCCGCGGGTAACAGAGCAGGCAGGAGGGGGAGAGGACGAGGAGAAGAGCGGGGGACTTATTCCTAATTTTACCTGACTTATTTTATTTAATTTTTTATTGTTTTTATCGTCCTGCAGGCTCTGATGGAAAATTAATTTGAAGCTGAGATTTTTTATTTTTATTTTTTATAAAAATCGTTAGATTACTCTAAATCAAAATGAGGGAAATCTGTGTCAGTTACAGACATTCTGTTCACGTGAGCAGCTGTCAGTCAGCACCTGTCATCCTCCAGACGCACAACGGAGCGGGTCTGAACCAATCAYTTTTGTTGGCATTGATCAGCTGACTGATTTAAATACATCTTAACATTCATGAGGTACTTTRCATTGACTGTTTATGGTTGAGTGTGGGCGTGTAGAGGGTAGAACCTGAGGCGGGACCTCGTGCGCAAACTCTGACGTGCAGCTGTGATTTATAAATGAAAGATGCGCAGAAACGTGCGTACGTATGGTTTTATAAATCTGAATTTTTTTTGGCGTACGCCATTTCCGCCTTTTGGCCGTACGTTCACTTTTAGTATGGTTTCCACGCAATCCTTTATAAATGAGACCCCAGAACTGTGGGCAGAATCCTTCATATGGGACCAGATTCACCTTCAAAAACTGCAGCAACTGGTCTCCTCTGGCCCTACACGTTTACAGACTGTTGTTAAAAGAAGGTGGAATGTGTGACAGTTGTAAACATGACCCTGTCTCCACTTTTTTGAGGTGTGTTACTGCAGTAAAGTTTAATACTTACCCTGTTTTATTCATAAACCTGTACAAAATGTAGTTTGAACATTTGGCATGTTTATACGCTTTATTGTGGATAAAACTTTTGTGATAGTTGCATTCTTTTCTACATCCCTTATTTACATTTGACAAAAAGTAGTTTTGACAAAACTACCTTTTGGGAGTGGGGTTGTAAAAAAAGATTTATTTCTCTTTATATTGGGTTATTTTTTAACTTTTTAAAGGGATTCTAATTTTTTTTCCAGGGCCGAATGGAGTCCATAGTCGAGCCCAGAGTGAAAGCAGCAGTGAGTTCAGCTTGAGCTTGGAAAATGAGCCGTGGTCAAACGGCAGCAGTCCCRTCCAAAAGCCCCCAACACAGAACTCCTCCTCCCTCCAGCCACCTTGTGATGCCTCCASCCCCCAACGGCATATAAAGCTGCAGCAGCACAAAGAGAAACCATCTACTGAGCCTGTTGCAAGCAGCCAGAGCTCAGAAAYCCAGCCTGTACAAAAAGAGAAAGATCCCGGGCTCTCTCAGGACTTCTGGCTCACAAGAGGTACCAGAACCATCCGAAGGGGGTCAAAAGGCAAGGTGGCACGTCGCTCATCAGATTCTGGAGGCGCAGGAAAAGTTAATTCAGATCTTAACGGGATAAGCCTAAAAAATGAAAGTATCCGAGCTTCTGCTTATTCACCAATCACAGTTCTGTACGTTCAGGGCAAATCGTCCTCAATGTCTGGCTGCCTCAACTGCTTCTCCACCCCTCTCGTAAAAGAAGGGCGACTGAACACGTTCAGGTCCCCTAAAAATCTCCCCCGTTCCAGCAGTGTCATTTCCACAGCCGAGGGCTCATCTCGACGCTCCAGTGTCAGCAGCGACTGCAGGGTGACGGTTAAGGCCGAGCCCGTAGAGAGCGGCGCACAGCAGGAAACGCCGACTCAGAGTCAAGAACGAGACTCGGCCTCTAAGAACGGCGAGCCTGAGCTCGTTCCTCCTGCTAAACCTCCAAGAGATCCAGCAGCTGTCCTCACAAAACACCACAAAACTCCCGTGCAGGAGTCACTTCTTGGCTCCTCGTTCACGTTTACCTCTGTCTTCTCAAACACGATCTTCAGTGACTCTGAGGTCACAACAACAACTGGCCAAGACGTCCTGGACATCGGTCAGACGTTACTCTGTCCGAATCCATCACCGGTGCAAAGCTCTCTCGTTGAGAGCCAAGAAACTGCTGAGAAGAYGCCACTAACACTGCTTACCTCTGAAAATGAGGAAAGTCCAAAGGAAGARCATTCAGCTGGGTTTGAAGGAAAGAGTCAGCTGCTTACAACCACATAAAAACAGCCCTCATGTGTGTTCAGGTATTATTTCCTCATCACATCAATTCAAACACACCTTATTATACTGTGTGTACGTATATAAGCTGTTCCCTGCAGACTACATGATTGTAAAATTAATTTTATTGGTGTGTTTAATAAAAAAGTTATGTAGACAAAAGCAGATCTAGTCAGTTCCAGTTGAATGTTCTCATTCTGGTTCTCTTTTGAAATGGTTGTTGTATTCTTTTTTTTTTCTCCATAATTATTTTGTTTGGTAAATGGTTTAATAATTTATTTTACTTTTTCTCTGCCAATATGACAACCATATTTATGCTGTTTGTGTTTGCAAATATTTTCTCCATTTTGATTTTATTTATTTACACCTCTTTTTTGCTCATATTAAACCCTTAAATTATTACATTCCTTTGTGCAGCTCTCGAATTTTACTGAATGTTTACGCGTGAGAAAATTTGTGTATCTTGTGAGAGATTATAAATCTGAATATTATTTTCCCATAATAAACTTATGTGAAAAGTTTTTTGCATTTCGTTTGACCTCAGTGCTTATTAATATGTAATATAAAACATAAAACATTTCAAATATACATTTTTTTGACGTGAGATTTTTAAAATGTAAAGTTTATTTTGGGTTAAACGCGTATTTTTCATTTGTTTTCAGTTTTATGATAGAGCAGGAGGACTCGAACCCGCCCCGTGTTCTGATTGGCTCTAAGGCTAGACACGTGACGCAATGCGGAAGTCGACACATATCTACTAAAAAACAAAACATTCGTGTTTGTTGTAGCGTTCTGACTTTAGCCGAGGCAGCTGGAGTGGTTACAGAGATTATTCCGCGCAAGTCGACAATTATACCAGGGTCTTGGCACGATGCTGAGCGCCGCCGCGGCAGAGAGGAACAAGGACCCCATCCTGGCGGTTCTCCGGGACTGCGTGAACCCCGGCAGACCCCTGCAGGCTCTGGAGGTCTCCTCCGGTACCGGACAGCACGTCGTTCACTTCGCACAAGCTTTGCGGAACATAACCTGGCAACCCTCCGAGTATGACCGCCAGTCTCTTACCAGGTAAACAAGCTAACCTTTGTTCATATAAAGTTAGGTCAAAAAAAGCTTGGCCTTAACTTTGGTATAAATGCAATTATTTGTTTATTTATTCATCCATCCATCCATGCATGTATGTATGTATGTATGTATGTATGTATGTATGTATGTATGTATGTATGTATGTAAACGTGTGTGTTGCTGGTCACGTGCTCTTTGTTTTATTGAGCCTGAGGGGGGGAAAAAAACAGTCTTTTGTTTCCATTCTCAGTATAGAAGCGTACAGAGCTCACTACAAGCTAAACAACGTGCAGCCTGCCATCCACCTGGATGCTTCTCAGCCTCATCAGTACTGGGGAGGGATTCAGCCAGAGAGCCTGGACCTGGTGCTCAACATCAACATGATCCATATTTCTCCTATGGCTTGTACAGAGGTACAAATAAGTTAAACATTACATGTAAATGTTACTGTACATATCATCTAATTAAAGRTTAAAGGCTTTGTTAGAACATGGTTTAAGGTCTGATTCTAAACCCTGTTAAACRTGAGTCTATGAATAAAACATAGGGACCTTTTACAATTATTTGCAAATAATGAGGTGAATTSTGAATTTGATAACCAGCAAATGTCTTTCACCTCTCCAGTTAAACCATCTCTGTAATGAATAAATGTTGGCGTAGAAAAAAAAAAGCCTACACATACTAAGTGTTCTGCTGAAATGCTATTGAAAGGGACTATTTTTAAATGTATCAGAGCCCTTGTTGCTCATTTTCTTTCTCTGTTATTTGAAARAAAAATCTGCTGAGAAAACTTGAGAGTGTATTTACACTGCTTCTCCTCTCAAGACTGTCAGAAGCTTTGTAGAATATWCTTTTAAATTTATAAAAGAGGAACAGATTTTTTTTTTGTTAATCACTCAGTTCATGTAACATGATTCCATCCTAAAGTTGTAGCTGTATTTTTATTTATTTATTTTCTCAAGGGTTTAATCAAAGGGGCTGCAGCGCTGTTGAAGCCGCAGGGTCTTCTTTTGACATATGGGGTGAGTTAAAAAYATTTTGTGCTGTTATCAACATAAAATGCAGTTATAACCACTATATGACTTATTCTTTCAGCCGTATGCAGTGAATGGTCAGATCACCCCTCAGAGTAATGTTGACTTTGACTACAGTTTACGGCAGAGGTAAGACACTGTTTTGACTCCTAAAGTTGGGAGGTGGGGTCTGATGTTCAAAAGAAACTAGGTGGTGGTGTTTTGTTACACAATAACTGCTTAATGTTTGCTTTTAAAGCTTAGTGAGGTACAGAACACATGCAAAGAAAATATGTTCAAGTCTTTAGTTAGCTAAATAATACAGGAAGTGAAACAATTTTATTTTGCAGGAACCCAGAGTGGGGACTCAAGGATATTTCTTTTATCAGCTCCTTAGCCCAAAAACATGGTTTATTCCTTGAAAAAATAGTAAGTATTCAGCTCATATGATAACCCATATTTTCTTTTAAAACAGATTTAAATGTTGATTTTTTTTTTATCTTTTTTAGGTGGAAATGCCAGCGAACAACAAATGCTTATTGTTCAGGAAGGAGAGTTTGGTGTGAGGTATCCTGATGTTACGTCTCTGCATGAACTCCCATTTTGGAGCAGRAGGATCAAAATGCCTTAAATGAAACTTTAGGCACAGATATGTGACTCAATCTTTTTAAATCGCAAATGGATCAAGTTACATCTATTATTAAACCCACACTGATTAAAATTCATTTAACCTGAATTGTTATTCTCTAAGACAGTTTTTTCTGAATTGTACAGCTGAGTTAAAGGCTCACAAACATCTACTTCGTGTGTACTTTATTGAAACAATGTTTTATTTTATTTTAGATATTTTTATGTCAGTAAATCAACAGAAGTGCTTTCAAAGGGTCATTACAAAATTATACAATACATAAAACATAAATATTTGTTTCAGACACCAATATCTATTAAAAAAACAATAAAATAAACTACAGATTATAAACTGCAGGTGCCTGTTTTAAGTATCACAAGAAAAAAATGTAACATGATCAACTTGTTTATCTGTTATCTTATTTTCCATAATGCATACAGTAAAAAAACATGGATATTTAAAGTTAGTAAAATATTTTCAACAGTGGTTATAAATGAGTTAACACATCTGGGATGTAATAAAACTTAAGCATGAATGAATACATATAAATAATCTCAGAACTTTATTAAAATGCTGTTTTTAAGAATGCATCTCTTAATGTTTAACATCTGCTTCTTTGTGCCAGTTTGGAGACTTTTATGATGCCTCACACGACTTTTTATTTATAGCTTCACGTAGSTTTTTGAGCCTGCGTTCAGTTATGGCTTTGACGTAGCTGTCTGACTGGATGAAGGCCATACCATCCTGCACCATTCCCATCACCAACAGGGGGTTTTCCTCTATGGTGATGTTAGGGCAGGGACAGCTCCAGTCAATCTTGGTGATGGTCACCTCCAGGTGTTTGGTACTGAAGAAAGTCAGGCCCATCTTTTCGTCCCTCAGGACTTCTTCCAAGCTAAAGCGAGCCAAGCCAGAGTCCAGATCCTCAACAAGCTCCGTCAGCCGGCCGACGATGGCGAAGTCGCTGCGGCACAAGCTGGGCATCATTTTCCCCCTCATCCGACAAGTCCTGCATGGTCTTCGTTTGGGCTGGGGACAGTTTGCCTCGCACTCCTTTTTAGTGTGGAAGTTGTTGTCATTCCCTTGGCATCCACCGTAAACGAAGGCCTGGCACTGCTTCATTAAGGAGTTCCAGGCCCAACGTGCCTCCCAGGTTTTGCAGGGACCCTGAACTGCTGGCAGGGAGCAGATCCCCATCCCTTCTCTCTGGCAGGATGCTTTGCACTCTTCGTACGTCTCAAAACGGTTGCGACTGTCRTCACAGCCGCCGTTGTTGTAGGTCATGCAGGAGCCTAGCTTGCTATCGTAAAACCAGTCAACGTGGCGATCTCCGCTGCAGACTCTCAGGTCGACTTCAGCCAGGCAGTCCGCGGGGGAAAACGGGCGCCCCATGGGCATCTCGGGATCTTCGGAGAAGTCATCCTCTGCTCTGCGAATGACGGACAAGGGATAGTCCGCACGAAGGACTCCCGCAGAATTCCTTGCGATGCACGTGTATATGCCTGTATCCCACACCTGGGCGTTATAAACAACTAGCTGTCCGATGTTGGTTATAACCACGTTGCCGTACATCTGGTCAGGCTTCATGACTAGTCGTTCACGCCGATCACTTTGTTTCTCCCATGTGACGTCGGGTCTGGGGATGCCGATGACATCACAGTGGAAGTTGACAGTGCCTCCAACATAGATGGATTGGTGGTGGGGGTTGGAGTACAGCGTGGGGGGCATGGGATCCTCCTGAGATGATGTCGGGGTGGGATTAGCTGTTGTGTCCTGAGGAACTGGACTTGTATGGGGACCGGCGAGGTAGAAGCGGCACGGGATCACAGTTAGAATCACACCCCGGATGCAGGCTTCTGCATCCATGTAGCACCGGTTGAAGTAAGTGAGACCATCTGATGCACAGGTGAAGTTTGGCTCTTTCTCACAGCGGTCCTGGCACTTGCAGACAAGTTGTCCATCCCAGATGTCACAGGAGGCTCCCTGCTGGCTGCAGATGAAGCCCTCACAGGTCGCTTTAGAGGCGGGGTCCTCTTCTCCGGTCCCTCCGCCCTTCCCATCCGGCTGAGCAGGGGTCCCATCGGAGAAACGGGCGGCAACGCAGCTGCTGAGGCCACACACGTTAGTGCAGCATTTCTCGAAATCAGCACAGTCCTGAACGTAAAGGGAGATTAAAAAATCAGTTTAATACAAGTAAAGAAAACAAAATAATCAAAGTTTAGAAGCTGAAGGGGTGTTTCATGCTCTGAACAGGGGGTTCTAGTCCTGTTCAGAAGCAAGAGTACCCAGGAAGAGAACATGGGAACGCCACCCAGAAAGACCGGGAGCTGACTCTGCATCCTTCAGGCAGGATGGCATCCCTTCTGCTGGCAAATGCTCATGCATTTAAGATTAAAAACAAATGGGTCATAATTATCATGGTTTAACACAAGGTCTTTGATAAATGACACAACTTGGGGGGAAAAAAAAGGTCAAAAGTTAAAGTTGATAGCCCAACAAAAGTTTAGGAAAATCTGTGTTTGAAAGCTGAGCTCTGATTTTATCGCCCTGTTTGAGCCTTAATATTTATTCTTGATAGTTGACTTGCTCGTTTCTCCAGAGCCCGTAAGGGGACATGGGGGAAAAACAGATCCTGACTTACTTTTGCAAGATTTTTTGCAAAGTTTCTCGGGATCCTGAGAAACTTTTGCAGGATCCTAAGAAATATTTGCAGGATTCTGCAAAAGTAAGTCAGGATCCTTTTATTTATTTTTTCCCCCATGTCCCCTTACGGGCTCCGTATGTTTCTCTTTTTTTTTTTTTTTTTTTAGTTCAGGTTTCTTTAAGTACAAATACTTTGCTACTGTACTTAAGTAGAATTTTTGGTTATCTGCACTCTACTTGAGTACTTATTTTTCAGCCTACGTTTTCTACTCTTTACATTTTTACACAATTAACCTATCTGTACTTTTAGCAATTTTAAAAAAAAATTTATATGACATTATAGTCATTTTGGCCTTTTGAAAAATGTTACTTTGAGGGGGTCACCTCCCAATAAATGTCATTTTGTAAAATCGAACCACTTTTTTTACTCAATACTTTTACTTTTTGTCTGAAATCTACTTTTGATAGTTAAGTAGGCCTACAAAAAATATCAGATACATTAAAACCTTTACTCAAGTAATATTCTTTGAGGGGACTAACTTTTACCAAAGTAATTTTATGGTAATGTACTTGTACTTTTACATAAGTTATACTTTTAATACTTTATACAACACTGGCAGAGTCACTTCAACATCTCCAAGCCTGAGGTTTTAAGAGGATTCAGATGATTTTTTTTTGTTTACACTGAGTGTGGACCTGCATTTTAGAATTACATTCAATATATCTAGAAAACTGCAATAAATAAATAAGTAATATGTTTGAACTGGTTGCACTAAAGCTTTGTCCCACCTTAAATCACCATGAAGGCCTACTGCACTAACATTAAAGATCTCTTTTTATTACATAAATAAATCATCTGCTGTAGCCATCTTCTGCATCTGGAAGCATCAAAACTTGGTTCTGGCTGTTCGTGGTTTCAGAACAGGTGATCTCACCTCATCCACGCTGCATTCCCTCTCGCAGGTGCTCTGCGCATCGACCCAAAGGTTCGAGTTGAGCTTGTTGGGGCAGAACCCTTCGTGTTCCACTCTGGATCCTGCCACAGTGGCGCACAAAGAAAACYCCAGACAGTCGCAGATCAGGAGCATCAGGAAACACGCGTGTGTCCATCCTGTCAGCGGCTTGTTGGGGCAGATCGCGCTGTGCCAAACTGAGTGTTTATCTTCCAAAAAACGCAGAGGGATTTCACACATTGTTGTTTTGAAAGAGGCGCAAATCGAGTAATTCCATCCCTCTTTCGGGTCCGCGGAAGAAGTAGAAAAAAAACACGTCCGAAGTTGAAATCGTTGTTTTTGCTCAGCTGGGAAATAAAGTTATTCTAACGCTTTAATGCGCAGTTGATATCCCGGTGGTCATTCACCTTCAGGAGCAGCGGGAGAAGCAAACGGCCGCACAATGAGAGGGAGAGAAGGAACAGCAGCTTGTGAATGGAGGTGGGAAAGGGCAGCCCCCTCTGACCGCCCCCCACGCTCGACCACTGTCTTGAAACTTTTATGAAGCGACACCATGAGTTGCACAACTGGACAAACATTGTAAAAACATCAAAAGCCGCGTGAACGAGCGTGCGCCCGGAGACGCACAAAGGGAGCAGTGCGTAATGTTCATCCAGGCGTCTTAGGTGCTGTTTGATTGCTCTAAAATATATATTTTCTGTTGTTATTTAAAGTTTTCATGCAGTCCAGGTAGTCGCACAGGCTTATATTTCCTGCAAAGACTCAGCAARCCAGCAGGAAAGGTGCCCGAGGCGCAGGACGCGAAGCGTAAAAAGAGCCCAAAAAAAAAAAMCACGAGGCGTGTCTCGTCATGTCTCCAGAAACGTGTAGTTTGCGCCCTTCGTGTCTAGACAAGGGGTCAGTTTCCCCAGCGGTCAGGTGGGAAAAACGGAAAGCAGCACTATTTTCCACATTGTTTGAACTCGTATTAATGCTGGCAGGRCTCAGGAAGGCGAGGAGAAGCAGCTCCCCCCTCTACATCCTTTCAATGGCAGTGACCCCCTGCAACCTTCCCGTGACTTCTGACCGCCTCGCATTCATGCGCCGCAGCCAGTTATCCAAAAACTGGCCAATAACGAAGGAGCAGCTAATCAATTCACCCCCCACACCCGTCCACACACACTGCTCTCACACCTCCCACGGGTTTTAATGCACTTAAGTACCAGCAGCTCAGAACTGCACAAAAGGAAGAGGGAAAAATCCTCCCACAGAGCCCCTGATTTATGTGAGAATATAAATAAACATTCAATACACAGAAAGATATAGTTTACCCTTTATTTGAATGGTTTTCAAAAGGAGACAATGTTTATGTTGTAACCTTTTTTTTTTCTTGACACACAGCTCTGATGGCAACAATCACTATTAAAAGTTTCCATTTAGTGCTTTAAATGTTCCGGTGGTCTTTGTTCAGGTCTCAAAAAGAAAAGCATGCAGAATCTCACCACCCTGGATGCCCTTGTTACACACTAAAAGACAATGAAAATGCAGAGCGTTTGTCAGCGGGGAGGGAAAATTATTTATGTCACTCACTTCTTTTGAAAATATAATTAGTTTGGATTAACGATGAGTCATGCCAACGTGTTTACCCTGTTTAAGTTTGGTCACGTGACTCAAAACTTTCACCTYTAATGAGAAATGCATTCACTGTACTTAGAACACCACTCGAGTAAATGCTTTCTAACTGTCCCATTCTGGATAACCTTTGATTCWTACTATGCAATAAGTAGCTTAAACATTATTGTTCTGATATGCTCATTGCGTGCTTCTTGAATTGTATCTCAAATACGTCTTCCACAATAAACAAACCACTGTTTAACCTTTTACTATTCAACATGTGTATGAATGCAGGAAAACAAGCTGAGCAGCAGAACAAGCACCGACAATGAATTGCATCTACCGGTATGTACCCTGAAGCTCTCCGACTCACAATCCCACCACATGGCTGCAGAAAATAAGCTGTTGAATACTGTTTTACATTCATAAATACATAGCATGTACATAAAATATCTCAAAATCCCGCGGATTTACAAATTCATAACAAGACCGTATGAATTTAAAGGTAAAAACGCTGAAAAAAAAAGACCGAATGACCTTTACGAGTTTGTACAAAATCTTCTCATCGGYATCAATCGGTCTTGAGATGAAATGTAAGCATGCTGTCGATAGTTAAAATCCAGTTAAAGTAGGTACACCAKAAACAAGATTTAGAGCTTTAAAAGAACAAGTTTGCACAGATGAATGAAACCAGTGGGAACAACAAAATATTCTGATTCACCTATTTTGATCAGAGTAACTTACTTCCAAATTCTTGAGTCTGGAAAGCTCATTTTGCCGGTTTAAAACTTTTGTTTGTTTAAAYGTTACTAAGAGAATCTGAGCTTTGAATAAAAAGTGCAGCAGCACTCTTGAGGTTACAAATGGATTTTTCTATTGTACAAAAAGCCCGTAAGACACACGACATCAAAACGTCTCTCAAAACATTCAGAACAAGCAGAAGCTGCTCCTCCACACAACGATCACCAAACACAACACAGAGACAGTATGTACACTTTTGAGTCCAGCTTTAAATACCACCGAACGATCCTTTTATCACCCCCAAAATAAAAGTCATCTCTGTAGTGTTAACAAGTGATAATCTTTAGTTCACATTAGTTGGCCCCAGGGAACTCTTGTTCATCTTGATCACGGCGAGCCTCTGTAGTAAAGACAACAGCTAAACGAACATCCACAAGATGGCACCAGCAAGCACAAAGAGAACAGAACCCGAGCCACCTGTCGAGTCAGTTCTCCCAAAGATCAGAGGAAGTTCATGTATTCATTTCTGACAGCTGGGAGTTCTCCGTGCTCTTTCTTGGCYTCGTGAGGGAAACATTTTTAATATCGGCACCACGGAGGCAGGGAGTTCCTCCGCTGCATTACGATATCTTGCAGTTCCCCTTGGAGGATGACGACGAGTACTTCGGAGGACTCTGTGGAGGCCTGAAGGACTTGGAGCGTTTGAGACTGCTAGCTTTGCTCCCACCACCGCTGCCCCCAGACGCTGTGCTGTTGGTCACAGAGTAGGAGCGTCCGTGCATCATGACGGCGTTCATGCCGTTGGCCATGGAGAACGACTTGAGGTGTGACTTGATGGCGACGGGGAGCGGCAGTTTGTCGATGAGGTGCACCGGTGTGCAGGAGACGATGGAACGACAGCACAGGTCTTGGAGGCTGAAGACTGGAACGACAACATAAGTATAAAATGAAAGGATAAAGATAATGATGTGCAAGTCTGAGACCAATGCATCATTTTACATTTGTTTAAATCTTTATTTTGTTTATAAAATAAATTTTAAAAATGCTGACAGAACCATTTTAATGTTCTTTAAACAGACAAATATTGGTCTTTTGCAAAACTTTAACTGGTTTAACTCATTTCTCTAACACTGTTTCATTTTCATATGTTCAGAAAAAGAGACATTCCTTAAAAAAATATAAACAAACACAGGCCCACCTCTGTTGGGCCTCCAGAACTTTTCCATCCCGTGTCTCATCAGCACGATGCGCGACAGCTCTGTGAAGGACTCGATGACGTTGAAGTTGCAGAGAGGACTGACTTCAAAAAACGTCATGCTGTTCTTCTCTGCGTACGCCCTGGCCTGCTCTGTTGGGACCTGCCGTTTGAACGCCAGGTGAAGTCGGTTTCCTACCAGGATCCTGGGAACACCTGGGGCATGCTAAGGAAAACAAAACAACTGGGATCACAACCTAATCATTCTTTAAATTACTTTTTTTTAGTTTTCAGTGTGCAAGTTTAGAAAATAACACCATGATGTTGAACTGAGGCTTTAAATGATATATATACATGCATGGTCTGTCCTTCTAAACTGCAAATTTGTCATAATTTCTTGTTGCCAGCAAAAAGTCTAAATGGTTACCTCATCGATTTCTCGAATCCAACGATCAATCCCATCAAATGACCAGCTGTTAGTGATGTCATAGACGAGCAGGATGCCCTGTCAAGAAATAAGTTTGTGTAAGTTTTACCAATCCAAATTTTACTACAACTGAGTACAGGTACTTAGAGGCAAATGTTTGCATTGTTTCTAATCAAATTTAAACAATAGAAATTTTCTAAGCAGTGCTCGACTACAATGAGAGGAAGAACAGGTTCCTGAAAACCTGCGKTTGTGTTCTCACCACGTTTTACCTGATACATTTTAAAGCATCATCAATCAAAACTAACAGAACAGGGATAACTATTCTTTATTATAAATGTGAAYAGCATGAGCTGTTTTGCTTTTAAATATTTTTTAATAACTAAAGAGTAGACTTCAACTATTTGCAACATAACAGACTTTATGTTTGATTCCTGTATAATATACAGCAAGCACAAGAGAAAGTCAACATCTCTGACTCTTAACGGCCACAACAAACACAGACTGAGCATCGACTGAACTCAACTCTCTGTCACAGGTGGTTTTCAGTCATTTAAACTTTAAAAGTCGTGTCGATTAAAGTTTGAACTTTACAAAAAATGACAATGGTTAACAATAAAATTCCACAAATCCCAAAGTAACAGTTTGAAGTTAAACCTARCACTTCTATCAAACATTACACCAGCCACTGAGAAATTTTCCTAAGTTAAAGCACCTTTTTTGAATAATAATTTACAAAAGAAAGACTTACAATAGCTTTAAAAAATACTTAGTGCACAGCCACTGTTTCCTTCACACTGGATAGCGTTGTTAATAATATGGTAAATGTCATCTTCACTATTTACACAACATTCAGGTTCAAACTGAAGCCATATTTATCTCACTGGAGATTGTACACACTAAGGTCAGAGCTCCTAAGGTAAAAACATTGACATCATAGGTTTCAGAGCATGGGTGAAGATTCAGACACATTCTGGAGCTGTAGCATTAAATGAAATAGAGCATTACATTATAAAAGATAAACAAAAWTTGTTTCATGAATTACCTGCGCTCCACGTGAATAGGACCTGAAGATGGTGCAGAATCTGCCTTGTCCTGATGTGTCCCTGTAAAAGACAAATATAATGAGAGACATTGAAACAACAATGCACTGAGTTCAGCCTTTTGTTGACTTATAACTTACCACAGCTCTAATTTAACTCTTCTACCATCCAGCAGAATAGTGGTGGTCTTGTAGTCAATTCCTAAAGAAACAACCCACACAAAGTAAGTTACAGAAAGATGTTTGAAGTTTATAACTCAATCAGGTTAACAAACGGAGCTGCTCACCACTGCTGTAGACGTAAGGAGACTCCACGGATCCGTCCTGCAGACTTTCCAGAATTTCGCCTTTTCCCACATCGCTGTCTCCCACCAGAAGAAATTTCAAGAGATAGTCGTAGCTCTTGACGGGACTGTTTTGAGTTCCCATCATTCCGCGCATTGGAACCGGTTTACACAGAGCTTCTATAGCTCATCAGACACACGCTGTTAAGAGCAGGAGATGATCCAGGTGGGGACAAATCCCAAGAGACCAGACCAGGGAGAGCGAAGTGATCAGCGACCGTCGTTTCACGTTACCCGCTAGCTGTAGCTAACTAGTTAGCTGGTAAACAAACATAAATAATAAGTMCTACCTTTAGTTTTGGTCGCTGCTATCACATATAATATTGATAGTATTCCAATAGACTTAACAGGAACAAATATCGCTTAGTACTTTTTTTAGCAAAAAGGGAAAACGAGTATTCAAAACAACATCGGATGCTAGCTCGCTCGCTAGCTGGGCCAGCTAACCCAAATGTTATTAATGCATTATTTAGCAACTTAGCTGCGCTGCAAAATAGGAATTCAGCCGTCCAATCCTACGAACAACGACACTCTACAAAAGCAAAATACGAATTCCTCTTTAATGCAAGTTAAAAACAACATGCTAATGAAGGACAAAGACACCCTACGAAGTACGAACATGAATGTCTAACCAGTTCTGTGGGAACTTCCTGGTCGCGAGACCGTTCATTGAGTCATATCCGGAAATGGAAAAATGAATTACCAAAACAAAAGAACCGCAGTGAAGTTAGTTTCAAGTTGGATATTCGATATTCGAGCTCCGTGAATCAAGGGTTGTCTCCCTCTTGTCTAAACCGGTGAAAGCGGT